ACCCCTTTGGAAAAATTCAAATACCATTTTCAATGCATAGCTCTCCCAATTATGATTCACAAATTAAATTTGCTCTCGATGCTGCGAGTTTTCAGCCAATTTTGATGGCATTTCATCAATCGTGCACGAAATGGGCAATAAAAAAGCTTTTACGAATAAATAACTGTAAAATTGAAGGGGCTATTGAGAGGGGGCTTCTCTTTCAGCTGTCACGGTGCATTACAAAATCGCAATCAACTATATGCTTTGTGCGTGTGTGTGTGTGAGAGAGGATTTTATTGTCAGATGCCGTGACTATAGACAAAACCTCAATATGTGCCATGATTGAGTAGTTAAAGGATTTGCACTGAGCACACCGTGTCCTAGATTCAACAACAGAGAGATAGATAGAGAGAGAGACGACGCGAAATTCCAGCTTGAAAGTATGCAATAGAACGTGCATTACAATAAGCCACGATTGCAGCCATTAAATGCAAATTGAAAAGCAATTCGAGCGAAGTCGCAACGATTAGCTATACACACGCATCATTAAACATAAACAAGCAACAACGCAGCATCTGAAGGTGAGTCTGTGTGAGTGTGGGTCTCTATGCGTGTGCATATGCGTCGCAGTAAATTATTAATGCACACGCTACCAAACGGAACATTGGAAATAAAACGGAACGCCGACGTTGCTGGTACTTTAAAGCCGTCAGCTTTGATTCGGCTGTTTCTATTGTTTACGTGGAGCGCGCGCTCATTAGAACAACAAGACAGAGAGGTAGAGAGAGTGTAAGCTAAAGAGAGCGTACAAGTAAAGATGGCAACTTTTGACGACTGTTGCTCGGCTCTCGTAATATGTAAACGTAACGTAAACGTAATTCTACGTATGTGTGTGTCCGCGTATGAGTGAATGTCGTGAGTGTCGCGCCTTGTTGCAATTACGACATCTTATTTGGGTCAGCGTAGACAGAGCGAGAGAGAGAAACAGAGAGAGAGTGGTAAAGAGAGTGTGCGCCTGTCAGTGAGATAATGTGTGAGTGAGTGAGTTGACAAGTGTCTGTCGCACGTGTGAGCTTAAAAGCGCAATGCATTGCGTTTCGAGGCCAAGTGTCAGGCGTATATGAAAGGCAAGGATGCTGCGTTTAACACTTCCCGTCGTCGACGCCTTGAGTAGGTGTGGCATTTAAGTGTCACTGTGAGCCAAGAAATTGACTTCAATTAATAGCTGAATAGACCCAGCTAACTAATCTCATCTAATTAGCCGACAAATGCCAAAGGGCACAAAATCCTCGATGTTGTTGAGGCTTTGCTTTTCCTGCTTTTATGACGCAATTAAAATGCTAAATGTTTTATGACAAAACGCCTGTGGAGGCACTTTAATTAATTTGTCGGCCGTGAAAGGTGTTAACAGCAAGGACAGCCAGCAAGCACCTACTGCTCTGCTTCTTGCTGTTGTTTTTATTTTACTTTAACGCTTGACCCAGACAAGAGAGACACAACAGCCAAGAGTCAAATTCACTTTAAGCGCGGCGCGTGTACAGGCTGAAAGGACACCCCCGCACCTACCTCATACAGCCACGGCCGCAAACCTAGCCATGCCCCCACCACCCCACCCAACCGAGATTATGCAGCTTATATGAGAAGCGAACGCGTGGCTTGGCTTCATCCTGTGTGGCAAAGGCTGGCTTGTAATCATGTTGCCTTGTTTTTTAGCTGACACAAGATGAAATGTGCGGGCTGCTAGAAGCAGAGGCACAAACAGGCAGCAGCAGCAGTAAGCAACGCACGCTGTGGTCCTGTCATGCTCTCAAAGAGCATAAAACGCCAGCTAAGCACATTCAGACAAGCATACGAATCGAGCCTGACAACTACTGCTGCGCCGCTTAGATGACTCGAAGATGTCCTGCAACGATTGCGAGAATTAAAACTTAAGGCGGACTTAAGTTTAGCATGAAATCTGTTAAGAATTGTGTTTCAATTTTCCGTTTCTTATACAGAACTAAGTTCTGTATAGTAAGCGACTATAGGATATAGCATTATATGATAGACTGCCCTCTACATATATGAAAAATATAAATGTTTAGAAATTTATAAGGTTAGCAGAGTCCTTTAAAGTTGGTTATCAAAATTCCTATATCGAGCTAAGGTTTTCAATCAGTTTTTTTATAAGGACTTCATTTTTCCAGCAATAGAATATATATTTGTTGTTCCAGAAACATAAAAGTCTAACCAGCTTATGCATATAGAGTTAAGAACTAAGTTCTATATGTCAGAAACTCAGCTATACATATCGTCTATCAAATCTTAGCTGAATAGGAAACATTTCTCTATATATTGTAATATACAATGAGCTAATATATATGAATTGATCATAAGAAACAAAGACAAATAGCAAAGACATTGAGGTATATCATTATGTAGAGCTCCATCATATATTAAGATATATCATCATATAGAGCCCTATTCCAAAAAATATTATACTAATAAGCTCTATAGAATTAATAAATGAAAAGTAACTTTTAATTGATTCTAAATACTACTATCTTATGAGAACAACTACATATAACATATTATACAGAACAGAGTTATAGTAGAGCGAGACGAGAGTCGTGTTGCCATTTCAAATACCTACAGACTTCATAGCACTTCCCTTTAACTTTATTAAATTATTTACATTTCCAGAACACTTGACATTTTATGCTTTTATTTTCCAACACTGGCGCAAGTTAGTTGGGGCCTCACTCAAGTATTTCAATTGCCGCAGGTAGCAGAAAAAAATTCTTGTTGCATACACAAGGGGGCAACATGAGGTCGCATTTGATTGCTGCTTTTGTCTGTGACCCCTTGCTGACCCACACCCCGCCATGCCACCTGCCACATTCCACAGCCCCATGCCAACTGGGAGTTATGAATTATGCAAAGAAGCAGCTGCTCCTTTTGCCTGGGGCCCTATCAAAATAGAATACGCAGACATGTTTTTTTTTTGCTGTCCTCCTTGGGAGCTGAGCCAAATCGAAGATCTTATCACAGATTCATTAATTTTTATATATATAAATATCACATATATAAGGAAAATACTACATGCTCTGCATACAAAGTATAACAAATGAAATAAAGCGGCGTGAAAAAACTCATAAATTAATTTATACAAATTCTCAACATTTCTGCAAGGCACAAAAAAATTTGTGTTCAAGTAAAAATTGTGAATTTCTGTAAACAGAAACAAAAACAAAACGAAACGAAGCGAAGCCAAGCGCAACAACAACAACGATTGAAACAACAATTAACAACAACAAAAACTAGAGAATGAACCAAAACAAATCGAGATGACGACGACATTTCGTTCATAGCATCATCTCAACTAACAACAAAAACAATTGCAACATATTCGATGCATGCAACGCGTGCTGTCTGTTTCAGTTACATTCAGCGTAAATATCGACGACACAAAGATATAGGTATATATATATGTATATATACGTATTTAGCATAGCTATGCACTGGGCTAGCCAAAAGTAAATCCCATTGCCCGGGTTATTTCAGAAAAAAAAATAACAGAAAAACATTGTTTTAAGGCAATGAAGAACTAGTAACGACTAGTTAGATACTCAGTAATTCCAGCCTGCGTCTCTTCATTATAGTAAGAGCTGAACTATATCGACTAGCAGCTACTCTACTATTAGAAAAAAATACATTGCCCAGCAAATATTATGTTTTCTCATATTAGCATCAGATCTTCAAGATATAATATAGAATATATTACTAAGCTAAGTCGAATAATAATAAAATATACAAGAATCATATTAGTTTGTCTAATTCAGTACCCAAACCTCGCTTAATAGTTGCTGAAATAAGCTTTCATTTTCAGATCTTTAAGATATAGCTACTATGTCTATACTATGTATATAATACATGCATAGCAGCTCTGATAGATGATATAAGTAAACACTCACACATATATGAAAATCTACAATTCAATATGCTCAAAAACATCTAAGCATTACCCATCGATATCGATCTGATGATGACCTAGAAAACTTGTTGATATAAAATAGATATACGTGTTCCAATCTCCATATTTTATTCCAAAAATTCAATCAATTCAATTAAAAAACTGCATTTATACCAAGTTTATCTATATATTTAGATATTTTATCAATAAATATTTACGATACTTATCGATATGTGTTTGTATTAACTCAAATACGATAGCAATCGATAAGCAACTTTAACAAATTTTAAAATGAAGTCAATTCAATCTTCCTTTGTCATTTACCACTTTTACAGTAAGTACAGGGTATATGCTAAACTAACAACACAGACGACATGATCACGACGCAACGAACGCAAGCGCTGCCCTGCCTGGCAGTCTGGTCGGTCGGTCGGTCGGTCGGCCGGTTGGTTGGTCGGTCATTCAGTCTGTCGCTCGTTTGTCTCATACACAAAATAGATTTTCAATAAAAACCCACTCGAAAAACGCCAACAATGGCGCACAGAAACGCATCGAGATCCATTCCGCGATCTATTTTCGAACCCAAACAAATATATTTCTAAAATTACAACAACATTTAGCAAATACAATAAAGTTGAAGGAAAGAAGACAAAGTATGCAGAGAATTATAGTAATATGCGTTTGATCTAAGAACTAGATTTGAGCACTAGAATAGAGCTCCTCTAATAATGGGATTCAGAGTGGGGTGGGCATCATCAGTTACTTCTATAGATCTTAGAAAAGTTGTTTTGTTTTCTAAATGTTTTAAATTGAATTTTGATTAAATTAAATTAATCAGAAAAACAAAATCAACAAACGAGATGACAGCAAAATATAGGGCAACTATTTATTAGCCTGAAGCCCCAAAAATTAACCTGTTAATGTTAATTTTAGAATCAGAGAACATAATTTGTAATGATTTTTTATATCATTTAGAATATTGTACCTTTTTTAGTTAATTTATTTTATTAAAAATAAGATTTGTAGTGAAATTTGATAGATTTGATATTCATTCAACTATTTGGGTATGATCGGCAACGGTCCTAGGGGTTCGTTTCTTGATGAGCGAATTAGCCGACCTTATGGCAAGGAAGTGCTGCTCGCCAATTGGCAGGAGCTGCGTCAAGGCAGCAATGAGCTGAACGATTGCATTTTGCCAGGCTTAAAGCGAGTGGATGCCTGCCTGCGGCATACATCAGAAACACAGGATAACTTCGAGCCGATTAATCGGTTACAAGACCCCGATTATTCAAAGCAACTGTTTCTGGGCACCCGCAACGAAGCGCTGCACAACTTTAAACGCAATCGATCGTCGCAATTAAATTTCTCTTTCGATGAGGACATGCAAAAGAATTTAACAACCACCTACAGTATAGTGTACGAGATTTTGCCCAAGCTGGCAAGAGACGAGAAGAAGAGTATGGAGAGTGCATCAACCGTGCCGAGCAGGCGCCATCATATAGATTTGATGATCAGCTATGGCAATCGTACCAAAACGGGCAAACTCAGCCGGCGCCGGGCTGACTTGCACTTGGAGAAGTTGCGCCGCTTGCAAACGACTTATATGGCGGAATATGAACGAAATGGACTACACCCGGCATTTGAAACAGGAATTTGCGAATAGTGATTAACCCAAATGTATAAATTGTATAATTAATTATATGTCAATTTGGTAATATTCAATGTTTATTGCATTTTAATTATTTTACTCACCATTTTCAGTTCTGCTGCCCATTGGAAATGCTACAGCAGGCGTTTTGCAGCACACGGGCATTGTGTTGATTGCAACTATTTGGACTGCTGCTGTTGTATTTATTTGTTTCTGGCTGCTGTTGCTTTTTACACACACGTCTTTCTATTTAATTTGCTTAGCACACGAAATGTTTTTATAAATTGCACAAAGAAATTTTTTCTTTTACGCTTGACGTGCAAGTGTTGCAAAATTCTAGCGGATTTTATGCAAACAGCTGGGGTAGTGCTGTAATAGCAAGCGATAGCTATCGATAACTAACTGCAGTGCAAAATGTACTCATTAACTAACAGTTGGGCTCCACATTCTGCAATATTAACAGCTGGGATTTATTTTGCATTTGCAAGTGCAGTGTACTCATTGTAGCTTCGTGCTGTACATTAACATTAACAGCATGGGATTTTTTTTAACATTTGCTGTATAAGTGCGCGTGTTGTTTGAAACGCTTATTTATTTGCTTTGTAACCCAATTATACATTTTGTTGTTTTTAACATTTATTTCGAGCTTGAACGTTAACAAAATAGTTTATGGCATATTTAAATAAGGCTGGTTGACTTTTTAGTGCCATTTAAAGCGAGTGCAGCAACAAAATTTGAATCTTAAGTGCGCGGTGCAGTATTTTCTTCCAACTTTTGATATATATATATAGAATATATATGTAGGTGGTACGGCAGTTACTTAAATTAAATTTGTTTCTATGGAATACATAATTCAGTTCATTCTAGATCGTTTTTTTATACGTATCGCAATTCGTATTCTCTTCACATACAATAATTTATTTAGGATTTCGAATAATTCAGTTTTTGTGTTCACTTCTTCACTTTTTGCTTAATTATTTAATAATCTTTACTGCTTTGCATATTTTACTCATCTGAGTCGTACGTATGGTACCTCGGCTTTGTCACATGTCAATTTGTTCAATTTGTTGTTGATTTCTTTCTGCCTTTAGCTAAACTAGCTCCAAGCGCTTCATCTCCTTGAACAGCTCGTCACCCATGTTGGCAGGACTTCTGGTAACAATGACGCCAGCCTTTTCAAGAGCGGCAATCTTATCGTTGGCACCGCCCTTGCCGCCAGAGATGATGGCACCGGCATGACCCATGCGACGACCAGGTGGTGCCGAGACACCAGCAATGAACGACACCACCGGCTTGGCCTTGATGCCCTATAAGCGATTAAAGAATTCGATTAGTTTGAATCTATACTTAAGATAAAGATCAATTCTAAACAGCGTGAATCCGCTCTCCATTATACTCTTTTCCTTACCGTATTGAACTCCGTCAAGTAATCAGCAGCCTTCTCCTCAGCCACACCGCCAATCTCTCCAATCAAAATGATTCCCTTCGTGTCGGGATCCTTGAGGAACACATCGAGGCAATCGATGAAGTCGGTGCCATTGAACGGATCACCACCGATGCCGACGCACAGCGTCTGGCCCAGGCCCACCTCCGTGGTCTGATGCACAGCCTCATAGGTGAGGGTGCCCGATCGGGAGACAACGCCAATCTTGCCGCGCTTGTGAATATGGCCAGGCATAATTCCAATTTTGCACTGCAAAATGCAAAATGCAAAATATTTAATCAAGCTATAATAAAATGTGTTTTCATATGGATACGAATTGATAAAACCGGTTTCGCGCCCAAGAGATAAGCGCAAATAAACAAAAAGTAATAAAACCGTATTTACTCGCTACGATGGACTGGCCTGACGCATTCAACATCTATCTTCTAATCAGATCAATTATGTGAACTTCTAGACTAAGTGCGTCGACACATACACAAGTTGTTGTCCAATGTAGTCGACTTCTGCATACCCTGTTTAACAATTGAGAGATTACAAGGCGGCAAATGACCTTTAAACTGCGACCTAGAAGAGCTCAGCAGTCGCTCAAAAACTAGATTGTGACATATATATACCCTTTGAATTCACACCAACAGGGTATAATATATAATATATATAAAATTTTCGCTTGAGTTAACTGTGTACTTTAAACTTCGGTTAGACATTAAATTATAGCAAACAAGCATCAACTCATATACCCCTTTCAACACCACACACAGGGTATATCTGGCAATAATCTTTGCACTTCGTACTTTCACATAGACAATCCCAAATTGCATGCTTATAAATTATAAAACATGCACAGTGAAATTCAAAATACCCTCCTTAGCATCTCTAACAGGGTATATAACTTAACACAACCAACAACCGGCAAAGCCAATCGAACGTTTTGCTTTGATTTGTGTCGAGTGAACTTTGCACCCAGCACTTATCTCCCTTATCTCTTGAGCGGCCGTCTTCATGGGCATCACATCATTTTTTTATTGTCTCTGCTGCTGTTTTGGAACGAACCTGTTCGGGTGCAATGATGCCGGGGCAATTGGGGCCGACAAGGCGCGACTTATCCTGGCTGACCAGGGCGTGCTTCACCTTGACCATGTCGTGCTGTGGCACACCCTCCGTTATGCATACAATCAGTGGAATTTCAGCGTCAAGGGCTTCCATAATGGCAGCGGCAGCACCGGGTGGTGGCACATAGATGACCGTGGCATGGGGATCCGTTGCCTTTTTGGCTTCCGCAACGGAGGCAAAGACGGGCAGGCCCAAATGCTGAGTGCCGCCCTTTTTGGGCGAAATGCCACCAACGAGCTTGGTGCCATACTCCAGAGCCTGCTGGCTGTGAAACGTTCCCTGTTTGCCGGTGAAGCCTTGACAGATGACTCGGGAGTCACCAGTCAGTTTCAGATTTCCACGCGTCTTGTTATACTGCGAGCCACAACGTACGCTGGCCGTGAAGCCATCTAAGAAAGGGAAATAGAATAGAGTTGAAAATTTCCCAATTGACAATTGCCTTTTTGTGTTTGTTTTGCTTTTTTCGGGTCACATGCGAACCTTGAACATGGCCCACTCACATCTCTAGCTCTGCCCTCTTCATATACATACAGCATGCGCACACACATGCACTCATGTGCCGCAATTGCAGCCACGTCGTTTTTACTGCTAATCAGCATACAGTCTTTCCAATTAATACAAACCAATAAGTAACAGCTGCTACTTGTTGCCGCCAATCTGATTATATATCGCTTTATATGCTATAAATTGCACGCAAGTTATATAATTTTACACACACATAAAAATGTTTCGCAATAGGTATTTTTTCATTGGTTTTTTTTACTTGCCTCGTACTTTCAGCAGCGCTCTCATTGAAGCAGCCATTATATGTGTATGTGTGCTTTTGTTGTTGCTGTCGCTTGTGCGAATTGAAGCTCTGCAGCTTATTGTTTAAAACGCGTTTAATTAGTGCAAACGACGGCGACGGCACACGGATCCTCAACACGATATATCGCATTAAGCGCAGCGATACATCGATTAGCACAGGTGTCACTGACAATCGTTAAGGTTACATCTCTAAGTCTATTAGACGATAGCTAAATTATTTATTTACCATAAAATTATTATTTAAATATTTCAGTATTAAAAAATATTACTAATTTAAATATTCCAAAGGTATTTCTTATGCGAAAGGTATTGGTACGCATTGTTAAGCAAATTTGAATGTCACACTGGAATATCCCAAATGTAATTGCGAATATCGTTCAATTTTAAATATCAAAATAATTTTTGTTTTGGTTTTTCTTCTACTCAACCTTTATTACAAAAGAACTAAGAAAGGAAACTATTAAATTACTTTCACTTAAATATATTGCCTCACTTTAGACATGAATGCCTAATACAAGATCATCGATTTAAATATTATCAGCTACGACAAAACTACAAAAAACTGATTACAAAATTTGTTCAAAAATACGTTTTAGAAACTGCTCCTAAGGCCGTAATGTTAATAATTTCAATTTGTTGCTTACTTTTTTCATATAAAAACGGAGGGCTAAGTGTTGCATCAAGTCTTTGCCATACAGAAAAAGGACAATTTAAAAAAAAATTTGCAATAAATTAATTGAACAGATTTTCACTCGATTGTGTTTCAGTTGGCAGTTCAGGAGGATCGGCTTGATCCTCGTACTCCTGGCGATTAAATGCATTCTCTTCGCCCTGCTTCAGGCGCTGATAGACCAATATACTCTTACCCGTACGCGACTGCACGTGCTGCAAGAGAGACGCGACATTAGGCAGTTGCGTTCCCAATGCTGTGGACAAATCATGCAGCAAAGGTGACTCAACCAATTTCTTTACCTCTGCGTGCTCAATGCTGTGCAGCAGCTTGTAGTTAATAAGGTATTCACTGATCTTCTTGTCTAGTGAGTCAAAGAGAACCACATGGGATGGCTGTGCAGTGATTGGATGAACTGGTATGTGGGAACGCAGCCAGTGCATGGGAGCATCAAAGAAACGATCGGCCTCGTCCTTAAAGTTTTCTCGCTGCTCCAAATTGGGCTCACAGGTAAGGAAGCGCATGGTGACATTCTCATGAATGTGACTGCAAAAGATTAAGGCATCAATATAGTGAAGATTTAAATGAATAACCATTCGGAACTCACCTGTAATAGGGCGTCGAGTGGCATGGCATAAGGAAGAGTATATTAGCGCGTTGTTCGCGTTCGTCACGATAATCCTTAGCTATTTCTTGCAGCTTTGGCATCAGCTCAATGGGTCCCTTTTGATGAATAGTGCTCAAATACCAAGCAGGCACCACATTGCCCAGCAGAATAATTAAAGCAGCTGTCCACAGTTGAAGCCTCGATGCGTGATAGCTCCAGCGAGACAAAGCTTCCGCCGAGACGAACAGGCACAAAGGCAACAGCGAAGATACAAAGCGGAACTCCTTGTGCTCCACAGTGCTGAGCACCGTCAAGGTAATCAGAATACTTATCAAGAGTTGCTTGCTCACTGGTTGCCTGTTGCCTTTGCGTACGGTTTCCACGATGCCGTAGATAAATGGTAGAGTATTAATGCCCAGCACTGTTGGCAGACCCACTGTGAAGTACCAATACCACGGATGCGAGCCATAAAAGCTACCAATGTTATGCAGGATATTATACTTGAGGAACTCCCAAGGCGTCACAATCAACTGGCCATGCCAATAGGTGTCAATGGCAACGCCAATGCCAGCAACAAGTGCCCTGTGAGAGAACGGAAATTAGGCATATAGATAATAATAATATAAAATCGCACTTGCCCAATAAGCACAAAGCGCTTCAGGATCAAATCTAGCGAAGACAATTTCGTCTTCCGCAGATGATACAGCACCAAGGGCACCCAAATCACAGCCGCAGTCGGACGCAGGAAGCAACAGATCGCAGCGGGCCACAAATACGCGCTGCCTTCGCCAAACCAAGGAAAATAGCTGAGAGCAATTGTAGTCAGCGAAGCCTCCAGTGTGTTGGCCAGCGTGCGGGAGCCCGTGTAGAACCAGAACCAAGGCACCAGTATTAAGAAGAGCGCCCACTTTCTTTTGCCAGTCCAGACGTAGAAACGATAGTCAGAGTAGGCAGTCAATGTGGCTTGCAGTAGGCGTGGCAGCAATACCAAAAGTTGGGCGCTGTCTAGCTGCAGCAGCGCGAGCAATTTGTATATGGCTGCTATTATCAGCGGATAAACATAGCTGCGTATACCCTGCACCCATTCCCAGGTAAGGTAGCCATAGCTGTGGTTGTGAAATGCAAATTGTTTTAAATTAATATAATATTACAAATGAGCGCGTGTTCCATTTTCATGAAATTCCACTCATATATAACAAACATACACGAGTTGGATTGAGTCAGGCAACACGCGCTCATCTCTAGTTTCGACCTCCCGCAGTCCTGCTTACCCGAACGTTAGTTTGTGTGCTACTTCAAGGCTCTGCCAATATTCATCCGGCACATAATAAGTCTTGACCACAAATACCGATGCTATACGCACGGCCAATATTAGCGCGAAGACGTAGAGTAGTTTCATGGCATTGATTTTTACTGAAGTAAAGTAATAAATTAGCCGCCGACAACTTTTTTTAATTTATGCATGTAAATTTCATATATTTTTGACAACTTTTGTTAGCCGTGTCTAACCTTAAAAATGTTGATAGTGATGTGTGTGAGTTGTGTTTTATAAGTGGAAACTTGCGTGTTTTTTAATGGAATTTTGTTCCTATTTTAGGCAGAAAAATATTTGGCGCGCTAGCGTTGAGAATAAAATTGTGTTAGGCGGCCTAAAAATAACGCGAACCAAAGAGCAAAGCAGAAACAGAAAAGTGACGCCGACGTTGCCAGGGCTGCACTAATCAAACGAAAGCAAACGATTATAAAGTGTCATCGATATATCTAATATAAATTTTAAAAATGTTCCCTTATTCGACATTTTGTTTCGAATTTTACTTTGCTTAATTTTATAATAAAATAGAATGTGTCTTGAACTTTATGAGCGCATTGTAGAAATGAAAAATTAATTTCAATTTGATTTTGTCACTGTTACACTTGTCGTACAATCAACTCGATTACAATGTAAGCTAAACAGATTATTTAAAATTAAGTGGTGCGTAAAATTGGCAATCTTTTCAATGGTTTTCAGTTTTCAAACATATATATCAACTAATATCAAAATTAATAGACATTTACAAAGAATAGGCAGTATCGATAGTTTTTAACGTTTCATTGGTTATGTGCACTATCGACTGTTGATGAATCCTCGCCCACCAGTTCGCCGTTATGCAAACCGATAAGCAAAATAAACACGAATTCGTAACGTGATAAAAAAAATCCCATTCAGATGACAAGACTCTAGAAATAAAACATTTTGTTTTTCTCTTAAACGGTGAGGCTGTGTGTGGCTCTCTGCGGCAGACAGCATGTATATGCTGGTTCGAGGAAGCGCACTTGTTCACCAACCACTATTGCGGCATAGCAGGAGATGTATAACACACCGAACATTCTCAGCGCTTGTAACAAAGTCCCAAATCTTGCCCAGAACTATTTCAACAGATTATGGCAGAACGCTTGGAAAACGGTACGGACATGGCAAGGGTGAGGCCAGTCAGGCCAACACCTTCATGTTATTGCGTTGGACCAAGCTGTTATGGAGCAAAATGTTTGGCAAGTATCTGCTGGTCACCAATGTGCTCGGATCCGGCATCCTGATGGCAGTGGGCGATGTAATTGCCCAGGAGTACGAATATCGCCACGGCTTGAGTCAACATAATGGCTACGATGGCGCACGTATCTTTCGAATGTTCGTGGCGGGATCCGTACAGGGTCCGTTTCATCATTTCATCTACAATTGGATGGATCGCGTAATGCCACATCGCACCATGAGGAACATCATCAATAAGATACTCATCGATCAGATAGTTATGTCGCCCATCTGCATATTGTTATTCTTCTATACGGTATGTTCTTTGGAACGGCAGACGCTACAGGCGACGAATCAGGAGTTAATTGGCAAATTTCCATATATATATCTGATGGACTGGCTAACATGGCCGGCAGCGCAATATATCAATTTTCGGTACCTGGACACCAAATATCGCGTCGCCTTCGTCAATGTCTGCACGGCAGTTTACAATGTGCTGATGTCTTATATGAAGCACGACTTTGGCATCCATCTGCCCGACGATGAGATAGCCAATGATGTAAAATTGCCAATACAACCTCAAAGTCCAACCTCACTGTCGGATGCAACAGAAACCAAGAGATAATTTTTAGCACCTTAATAAATTATGTGATATTCAAGTAAATTCATAGCCACATTTGTTAAGACTTCATCGTTGTTTTTCTTTGTTAGTTTAAAACGTAAGCAAGAGGCTATTATCAAAATCGATAAATATTTATGTAAACTTAAAATATTTACCAAAGACAGCATAAAACTTATAAAAGTAATTGTATTTATTAAATTGTAACTTGTACCTTGATTGTGAAGCTGCACTTTCCTTTGCAGGCAGCATTGGAAATAGAGATCTTATGCACTAACTAGTATAGGAAAGCACCGTTATGTAACTGTTCAAATGTACATATCATATAAATAATATTTTTTTGTTTTATAAACAACACAGTATTATATAAAATATATTTATTGTTTTAAAACCATTTTTAAAGACTCGTTTGATAACCTTCTGATAGGAGTGAAACAATCTATAAAAAAGTTGGGTCTAACTTAACTTATACAGTTTCCCGTCGATTTAGGGTTTTATGATTAATTCGCACGTTTCGCAAGAGGTATTAAACATTATGATTGTTTTACAATCTTTAGAATTGTTAAATTATGTAATAAATAATACAATCTAATGATTTATGAATTATAAATTAAACAATAGCTGATTTTATTATTAAGATCAAGGTTGATTCTTGACAATATAATTATGTTACTGATATAGCTACAAGCTTTGTATATACAATATATAATGTATCTTAAATTGTGACATTAAGTGTTAGTTGGCTTAAGTCCGCTCCGGCTTAAAATCCAAATAAGCTCACGTCGTATGGCATTGGTTCAGTGGAGTACACGAGTTTTCCAACTGGCTTTTCATATGGAATAAGTTAATTCGAATAACATTTTCGTATCTGTATGATCCCAATCAGTTTTATACCTGGACAAAGCTCTGATCTGTTTACCAATCATTTCCTAGCTGTTTATGTATGCCGGAGGAGCTCATTTAATAACAATTGTTTCGACGGGTGGAGCCATGCCAAAGATATGCTGTACCAGCGTCAGTTGCTCCTGTGTAATAAAATTGGCCACTAGCGTGGGCACGTGCTCATTGCAACGCGCGATTTGCTGACGAATCAGCGATTTGAATTCATCTCGAGCGCCCTTGTCGGCGCCTCGAGTGCCAATGCGGCGTGGCTGAGTTGTAGCAACGGCAGTCGCATTTGTTGCGCCAGAAGCGCCGCTGCTGCCGGTTGGCGACCCAGTTAGCTCAAAGTTGGCGTCATCCTGCTGCTGAGAGTTCCAAATGAAAGCCAATTCTTCGATTATATCCGTGGCAATAATATAATTCGACAAGACGTGCAAATTAAACGATTTGCGTTGCGTGATCAGATTGAAAATGTGTTGCTTAAGTACGACATCCTTATCGGAGCTCAATTGCAGCAGAGCCAACAGATCGCCCAGCAAGCGATCCGAACAGTTGGGCTCGAAGAGCATGCGACTCAATCGACTGATTATAGCGCGCGTGCAGTACTGAATCAGTGCAATTTTGGTAAGAGGCAAAAATATCATGTGACGATGGCTCTTTAAGCTGATGTTCTCCAAGAGTTGGCCACTAGTAGCAGGCAGTTCAGCGAGTATCTTTAGAATGCACTGAAAGCCCTGAAGCTGAAATAGATAAGATCATGAAATATCTGAGCGATTCTACATTCATTCACTTACCGTCATGCTTCCCTGCATTAGATTAAGGCTAAGAATTTGCAGGCTCTGCACTAGGGTGCTCTGCGTGGTCATATCGGCCATCAGTTTGTTGGCCTCATCGCGATGTCCAAAGTAAATGGCGAGATCGAAGAGAAAGCGTGATATCCAAGGCGCTAAAGGCAATGCTAACATAAGTTGGCTAAAATCCCGCTGGAACTGCTCAGTATTCAGCAACTGCCAGCAGCGAGCAGCGTGTAGAAAGGCCTCCGACAACTCTTGACTGATTGCGGTCGTAGCTGAAAATTTGGGCGGTTCCATGCTCTGCACTTCGCCACCTTCCGGTGTCCAATCCATGCTTTGTACTTCTCCACCCTCTGGCGACCAGTCAATGAAGCCCTCGACAAGGACGTGACTGACTTCTGCATCCTCTATGCGTAGCTTGCGTATGTAGCCGTGCAGTGAGTAAATGAACAACGTTGTGGCATAGAATAGCACCTGGGAACTGCCAGCTGGACTGCCTCTCAATATCTTAACCAATTTATCCCAATAGACATTTTGGTTGACCTGCTTGCTGAAGGGTAAAAACGGCTCCCAGCCCATCATTTGACCACACAGCATGAGCACCTTGAATATATTCTTCCACGCCTCTGTTGTGTCGCATTTCTCATCGTCCATGATTTGGCGCAGATAATACTCCAAGGAATTGGTGTAGAGACGACAAGCAAGCACTGGATTCAGCTCTGGGGGCTTGTTCTGTATCATTGGGAGAACCTCCTCCACGAGCATACGTTGATAAACATCCGGATCAGCTTTCATGCCCTCGGCGAGCATCTCCAGCAGACGAGGAGCCTGCGTTGCTGCCGTTTTGGGAAACTTATTGAACATAAGTATGTAACTATGTATACACTGCTGTAAATTGTCCCCACAATTGCTAATCGTATGCACGAATATGCTGTGCTGCACCTCTGGTGTTAGGTGTTTGTACATCTTTACATAGAACTCCTGCTCGGGCGTATTTTCCGTTTCGTTGCGCAGCGCGCTGGTCAATGCGTTTACCTCTTGCCACAGCTCTGCATGTTGATTGGTAAAGTTTGTGGCACTGTAACGTTGAAAATTATTAAAATATATTTTATTTCAGCTTTATTTACCATTTTACATTATACTAAAATAGTTGGCCGCCTTCTCGCTGTTCTTGCCATCGCGCTCCAGTAGATATGCTTCGTACTGCACATTGAAGGCGTTTGGATAAAGTGTTTTGGCGGTCAATATCCATGCTTTGGCCGAGCTTGGGTCTGTTTTGCGCAGACTTTGCGCTTGTCTAACCATATACATTTCATTTTCCTCAATGGAAGTCATTTTCATTGCTACAAAACAAAATTCACAGAAGCCGGCAATTAGAGATGGGCGAATTGCGAGTAACAAACGAGATGGGTAAATTGCGACTTATCTTATATAAATTCTTGTACTAAATATATATAATTAAATTCATTTCTGCATAAATATGGAAAAAAGTATTCAATATAAATATAACATTTTATATAATTAGATTAAAATCGTATAGCAGCTGCGTGCTGATCGCCAGCAAGTAACTGCTAATTAACTATCAATTGAATCTATCGACAGTATCGATAATATCGATAGTCTAAAATAAAATGTGTTTTTTTGCAAATTTATTATTGCAGATAAGATTGCTATAAGAAAAATAAATAATGTCATTAGGAAGGCAAAATCGAACTTGCAATAGTGTGTAAATAAGTGAAACTATCTATTTCATTAAGTTGCATTTTAAATGCTACTTTTTAAGTAAGTGCCCTGTCATCGTGAAATGATATAGTTATTTTTTAAACGCAGAGAGCGTTCGTGTTTTAATCAAATGATTTCCCATTAATATAAAAATAAATTTTCTAAAAGTAACGTAATGTCAACCAAATTAGTACGTACATAACGAACAATGACAGATCCAAAAGCAAATAGTCCAAATATTGATGAACCGACACCAACAACGTCAGTGATAGATCAACCCACAGTTGGAGTCATAGAAGGCGCCGACGGTGCTGCAGATGATCGATTGGATAGAGAGACATGTAAGTTAGGCTCTATAAAGCTGACCAACTAATATGGGTATTAGTATTCATTAATAAAAATTATCGTTATAAAATGTATGCACATACATATAGTTTGTATGAGTTTGCTTTAATAGCTTGCATATGATTCAGTTTGGTACTTAGAGATGGTCACGTGTTGACATAGCCAAAAATATCGAAATATAAAGCTTAATTTGTATCGTTTCGTTAAAAGCATTCTTTTTAGTTGGCCGTACTAACCATACAACAAATGTTCGAACCTTTTTCGGTTTTCCATGCGTACATTAACATTTCTTACTCCTTCCACAAATAATAATGAAAATATGAAAATTTTATTTGAGCATGACACACCCCTGCATGGTTTTTTATATAGTCTATGCTCTTCAGCGAGACGTTAACATCTTTTGGTAAACAAATTTAATTTAATTTACAAAATACGTAGTTGAGTTAGATTTGAAAAAGATTGTTCTAGATGTTCGAACTGAGTGTTGTATGTTAGCGATTGTAGTAATTATAGTATTTTATTATTGTTCGTATTAATTTATTCATTTCGAATTAAGCTGTTCAATAATGTATTTGTTTGGAATTTATTTGTTTTTTAGTACTGTATATTAACAATGTATATTTTGTATTAAACAGTTATTTTGAGTTTACTTGTGTCGTGTCACGATGCCCGCCTCTAACTTAAATTTGAAATTTGTTTGTTTTTTTCTCAGATAGTTCGTTAGTTTGTAATTTTTTGTATGTTTGTATGTATGTATGTATATATATATGTATATTTTCATTTAAGTAAATAATTAAAATCATGTAATTTTTTCAATGACGTCTCGCATCGATTATTTCGTGTCACGACATGCACTTCTGTAACAATAATCTTTCAACTGAGCTCTGTGGTTTTCCTTTGAGTTTTTTATTATAGTATATAGATAATCCATTAAAAAATACACTTACGCACAAACTTCTTGGGTTAAACATGTCACATACGCACACAAATTGGTTCCTTTCTTCAATTCGAGTTTCGTTGCACCATTGTTGACTAATCTCTGCGACCTCATAGACATAAAAAAAAACAAACTAAACGCAACCTGCAACGCTTTCATGACTTTCGTAGAGCAAACCGATGCAAGAGTAATCACAACTTCCAAAAGCACATTAGTGTACTCATTGCCAAAAACAACCTTGCCTCATTACAGCGGCTAGCGATGGTAAACCACTTGAGGTGGTAGAAAAGGAGGAGGATTCGCCATTGTGTTTAGAGTATGCCACGCCCACTTCGGTGCCGCTACATTTGCAGTATGTGCTGCAAGAGTATAAGAATAGCAAATTGTCGAATGCCGAACTATTGTTATTGCTAATCTATATGGTCGCCTTGGAGTCGGGATTTGTGGAGAATCAAAGTTTTGTGGAGAAACGGGCACTGTTGAAGCCGGTGCCGTCTGTCGGCTGTTTTCACGTTTACAATGTCCGTTTACTTAGCCGTGAACGGGTGCACTACACAAAAGACTTCGAAGATACGGGCTTTCGCATGTTGCTCCGCATCCTGCTCGATAATAGCTGTCCGGAGGAGCCAGCTATAACTCATAAACTGCAGTCTCGACTCTTTGCCGTTTTGCTGGGCGATCTGATGATGGTAACTCTAAGTCCAGTGGCGCCGTCGAAGGAGCCCGGCTTTAGCACTTGCCTGTCTATCGGACGCTATGTGCTCAACGTACAGCTAGAGCCGATCTACCAACGCTTTCGCAAGCTGGACGAGCTCTCATTACAGCTGCGCCAGCAACTCTTCCAACCGATGCGTGCCCAGCAATTGCTGTCCTTCAAGCCCCATTTGCATCCCTCGCTGCTCGGCTTACCACTGGAACTGTATGATAAAATCTTCACTCATTTAAACAACAATCAGCTCAACATTGTGGCAAATGTCAATAAGCAGCTGCATAAATATAGCAATGAGTTCAAGGAACGTCGACCACAGGGCTCTTTAATGTATCTGGTATAATAAAATCTATCTTTCAATGTGCGTAAGAATCAAGAAAACAAAAAACAAATTTTAAATAATTGTTTTGTAAAATATTCAAATGATACAAGTGGAATTTTAGTTTATTTTGGGAAATGAATCGAATGCTTTCGCTATCCCTCTTAGAACTGGTAATAGTTTCTTATAATATACATATATAGACATATGCATATATACCTACATACATAACATACAAAATGGATTTCAATGTTTTAATACAAAATGTCACAGTTAAAAATGCAGTCTTAAAAAAAATGTAATTTCTTTATTTAATAACAAATAAATAAAATTCAATTATTAAGTAATCGAGTGAAAATATTATTAAGAGTCAGGATCCGTTTTATTTTTGACCAAGTTATGTGAGTTTTAATCAAAGGGGCTTAGGAAATTAAAAAATATTTGTATGTACAAATTACGAGCTATTCAAAGCGATTGAAAATTACAATTTCAAGAAGTTTTCAAAAAAAAATTTTTTTAATATTGAAAATTTTTGAAAATTCAAAAATTTAGATGCATTACAAATTTTAAAATATTGCAAATTTTAAAAATTCGGAAATATTAGACAATTTTGTAAATTCTGATTTATTAGAAAATTTAGTAAATTCCGAAATGTTGGTAAATTTTAAAAATGCTGATATTTTGGAAGATTTAAAAAAGTCTGAAATATTTGATAATTTTGTAAATTCTGAACTATTTTAAAATGTGGAAAATTTGAAAAAATTTTGAAATATTGAAAAATTTTGAAAATTCTTAATTGTAAAATTTTGAAATACTGGAAAATTTTAAAAATTCTGAAATAATTTAAAATTTTGAAAAATTCTGAAATATTGAAAACTGTTTATAAAATTATGATGATTCTGTAGGTTGACAAAATTTTAATGCAACCTCAAATGAGAAATCTAAAAAGGTTAAAGAATGTTAATGACGAGAATAGCTCTAATTTTGACAGAAATATGCTAGAGTTGTCAGCAGTATTAGCCTTATTTAGGGCTAGGACACTATAAAGTACATTCATCTGTAAGTCAGGGAGAGCCATGGAAAATTGAGCGTATGTATGAATTGTTCTTCTTTATATTTGTCAGCAGCGGAGGCCATTTCGTGCGATTCGTACAACATATTCGAGCCGACGCCATTGGATTCCATCAGCATTAAGAGCAGCGCTAGCAACTATCTGCACGATCGTGAAATATGCGGTAAGTGAGCGAAAGCAGGGCAACTTGTTGGCCCATCAACCGAATGGAACGCCCCTAAAGCAGTCGACCCTTGAACACAGCACGACAGAAGTTGCAACAAGCAGCAGGCACATTCAAATGCCAGCTCGCTTTTCCCGCTTTTCCTTTTTTGACTTGCGCCCACGCATAGAGCTGCCCAAAACACAGACCAGCCCAACCACCAGCCACCGCCACCATCGTAAGCCGTAAGCCAATTGCTATATGGTTAACATCCCATTCGATGCTGGGCTGCTGGTTGTGCACTTTTCTGTGCGCCTGCTATGTGTTTGTATTATGATATCGACCTTCTTGTGGCACACGCTCTCTCTTATCATTCCGGGGTGGGCTAACGGCATGGCGCGCACTGGCCCACACCTGTGCGTCCTGTGGGTGCCATCGAAATTATCTGGCAACAACTTTATCAAAAGACCCAGTGACAAATATATAAATAAATTACGACTACAACTTCGCGTGCTCGCATCACAAAAAAACAAGGTATGTTGCAAACCGAATGGGGTTTCTCAGTTCAACGTTTTTTTTTTTTCAAACAAAAAGGAAAAACTCTCGCCATCTCTCGTTTTGTGGAGAGCTTTTGAGAGCTTTGCAGCTGCTCTTGAAAATCTGCTTTTTTTTTTTGGCTCCTGGCTCCTGGCTCCCCAGGAGCAGCTGTTCGCGCTGACGAACTGGGCCTCGTGTTTGTCTGCTGGTTTGGGTGAATGAACCCAAACGACCAGAAGCTGCCTCAACGCCTCGATTCAGTTGATCGTCAGACCCCAGTGGGTGGCAACTGTAGTAAATTCTGCATCAGGGACTCGCACAATGCTTCAATTCTATTTAATTTGCAACGTATTTTACTCATTATACAATTTGACATAGATATTTCTAGATATTTCTATTTACCTATGTAGTCCGTTTTTGTCAAGGCAAATATCTTATCTTATCTTGGGCAATTGACTAGCTGTGACATACGATCATAGTGTACTCGATAAGTTGTTATAATAATTTAATTAATTTATTCTTCATGAAAACAAATGAAATGCAAGAGGTGCCGTTAAACATGGCCTTTCTGCGCGATTCTCATGAATTTTAGTATAGGGCAGAAAGAAAAAAGGAGAGCGAAAATAGTAAAAATAATTTTAAAAAAATTAAAAGAGATCAGAAAGCAATTGAAAGTGCACAGCAAATGGAAAAACGTGAAAAAATGATATAACATCTGAGAGAGTGCAAAAAAGGAGATAGACGAAAGTGATAAACGGAGTGAGAAGGAAATGAATGAGAGAGCGAGAGAATGCGAACAATATATTAAATATTAATATTGCTTAAAAGATTGAGAATGGCATAGAGAGGCGTACTTAATTAAAATTGAGGTGGCATGAGCTTAAAAATATATTCTTCAAAAAAACAGACTAAAACTGAAACAAAAAACAAAAATAAGATAAAAAAAACGAAATTCCCAATTATTTTTGTTTTCAATTTTATTTACTGTACTAGCATGGGTAAGTAAATGAGCTGATGACAGCAAGAAATAAAAAATAAAACTAATCAAAAAAGAAAATTAAAATAAAAATGCAACAAAAATCAGGCATTTAATAAGTCTTGATACAATTTAAATATTTGAGAATCGAGTAGAAAGTGAATAGGCCTGAGTTTTAAAGCAGTTTCATATCAGTTAAATAAATCGAAACTAATTTTTATTAGTTTTGCAATTTTTTTCTTTAATTTGATTTGACCCCACTGTGGCACGCCTTTAACTATGCCACACATTTCATAGCTGTCGTTTTGTCGGCTGTTTTACTCGTTTCGTGTACGTTTTTACGGTAAACAAAGTGAAAGAGTTGGCAAAACATACGCTCGTTGCATGCAAAAGAACGTTCATAAACAGAAGTAAGGCGCAACAAAAAGCCCCCCAGTTACCAGAGGCAGCCACCCCTCCCCATAGCCAAGCTGTAACTGGTCCAGCTTGTGCTTTTTGTGAGCGAGCGAGCGAGCGAGGGAGCGCGCTCTCAGTGCAGCCTCTCGGCTGCCTTTGGCTGTGCTTTTGACTGCTTGGGCAGCTTTTGCACAGGATAACAAAGCTTGGCGCAATCAGTCGTTGTACTTAAGCGAAACATAGCTGGTCGAGTTGCGCGTTGCAAGTGGAAGCTGGACGCGTGTCATCCTTGATAATAAAAAAAGCCACCGAGTGCCACAGAGAGTGTGTGTGTGTGTTGTTTGATGAAAGTTTTTGCAAGTAGGTCCTGTTCGACATACTTCCATACACAGAGCAACAGCAACAGCAACAACACAGTTCATAAATAAGTGACGACTGCATCAGCTGTTGGCACAGGACGCGAGCGCGTTTTAATGTTGCCCCATTTGGCTGGCGAACGTGCGGCGCCTCAATTAGTTGCCAGCCAATGAGCTAACGTGTGTGTGCGTGTGTGCGTGTGTTATTAGAAAGGTTTTCAAGCTGGATTACAGCGGCGACAACAACGGACCCTGGGAGAAGCAAAAGCAGACCCAATCGACTGGCGACAATGCTGCGGCCAAGAGCAACGAGCAACTGCAGCATGATCTGTTGCAGCAGCTGCAGCAGCAATTTCAAATGGCTGCCGTGCAGCAGCAGCATCAGCAGCAGCAGCAACGGCAACTGCTGCAGCATCAACACTCCCATCCGCCCTTTCAGCAACAGCAGCAGCAACAGCATCCGCCTAATCAATATGCCAGCGTTCATGCTCATCCGCATCAGCATGCGCATCCGCCGTTGCAGCATCATTTGTCGTTAGGTGGCGCGCCTGCCTATCAGCTGCAACAGCAGCAGCAGCAGCAGCAACAGCAAACGGCCACGCCCACCGCCCATCATTGTCAGTATTCAACGCCGCAGCATCATTATCGCAGCAATGCAGCAACGACAACAACAACAACCACAATGGCAGCTGCAACCATACGACGTCGCACCTTGAGCCATGTGGCACGCTCCTATTCCGTGTGCGCCACCATGACGCCAGCCAGCAGCGGTGGCGCTGGTGCAGCCGTAACCATTGCCCAGCTGAAGGCCGCCAATCCTTTGCCAGCCAATGTGCCCAGCAGCTCTTCCGCCACAACGGGCACCCACTTGGCCAGTGGCGCCACCAAGCTGACCGTCGCCGGGCACCACAAGACAGGCATCATGGTCGCTGCATCGCGTTGTCGTTCGCCCATAATGCTCTGCCACAGCCACAGCGATGGCGAGTTCCCCATGTATCGAGGTGAGTGAGCAGCCCACTGGGATTAGGGTCAAACGGAAGGTTCGTTTGAATACAGCGCAACAAGGCAGCATCGACTGCGCTAATGAACTGCTGCAGTTGCTGTTGCACTTGCAGTTGCAGTGAAGGTGGAGGCAAGCTCTGGATTTCGATGAAAGTGCAGTTTCAGAGATGAATGTGCTCTATGTGCATTTATTTCAGAGTTTTACAATTTTGTTGGAATATGCTTTAAACAGGACCTAATCCTGCAAGGAGTGACAAGTTAGGTTGATGACTTTGAAACCAGAATCAGAATCAGAAGTTCATGAAGCTTTCTGGATCAGAATCAACAGAAGTTGATGAAGCTTTGTAGATCAGAATCTGACTATTCTTTAAGAAAGTCTTTTCACTGGGCTGAAAGTGCAGCAAGAAGCTAGAAGAACTTGCATATGCCTGATTGATCTGATATTCTAATTTAAAAGTGAAGAAAAAAGTACTTCATAGAGGCAAAGAGATACAGGGAGAGACAATGAAAGCGAGAGGCAGATATTGAGAGAGAGAGAGAGACCACTACAGAGCAAGAGAGAAAGGGCTAGAGAAAAAGATATAAATATGAAGAGCGTGACAGATAGAGAGGGAGTGAAAGATAGTGAGATCGAGAGAGGGAGATATAGAAGGCGCGAGAAAGAAATGTATAGTACAGGCATATAGTGTAGAGAGGGACAGCAATAGGGAAGCAGAGTTAACATAGGCGATTATGGAATGAAGAAAGTTAATGGCGATGCAGACTAAGACAGATAGCAAGATAGAGAGAGATAAAGGCGGAAAGAACTGGAGTGAATCAGTGTGAGAGAAAGAGATAGAGAAAAAATTATCAAAATATATATAAAGGAAAAAAAGAGCGATAATATGATAGAGAGAAAAAATATGAAAATATAAGGAACGAGAGAGAAATAGAGTTAGACAGAGAGAAAGAGAGTTTGGAGTAGAAGCTATAGCAACTGAGAGATAGAGAAAGCAGAGCAACTGACAATGAGCGAAGAACAGTGAAGGCAAGAATAACTCAAACTCAATGATAGAAATGTGCTAAAAAAAATATTCAGCAGGTCAAATGCCTTTGAAAAATTATAGTTTGATAATGCTTCAACAAGTGTTATTGAATATATATTTATATTTATATATATATATCTTAAGCTTACCCATTTGCTACATTTTGTCGTTTCAAATATGTTAACTAAAGCTTGATTGAAGCATCTACAACTTGCATTGATTTTGTTATATTTACTATGAACAATTTTAATATAAAAAAAATGAATTTTGAATTTAAATGCAAATGCTTGTAGCGCCCCTTACTTGTACAGCAATCAATCAAGCCATGATTGATGGTTAAATTCTTGCTCAATATAAATCTGTAATCGAATTTATCTCATTTTAAATTAATTGATGTAATTTAATTTGTAATAAATTTAACAACGATTGAAGTCCTGCCCGGCCCTACACAATATCGTTATCATTTGCACAAAACTGATTGATAATAAAAGTGCATATAAAACGCTCAATTAAATCACATTTCGATTGTGCTTGGCAAAGACAAACACACAGACAAAATGCTTGCTGCATTTGATTGATGGCGGGGGTGGCAAAGCGGTGTATGGGAAGGGCATGGGGCAATGCATCAGCATTTGCAGCAACTCATTAAAGCTGCGATTGGGTTGAGGGAGACAAATCGAAGCGTGTATCGCAGAGATATGCGTTCCCTTGACTGCATGAAGCTGGTGTGGAGCAGGGAGTGGTTGTGCTGGTGGTTGGTTCGTGGTGCTAGAAACTGTAATTTAATTAAGCGCCCCACCAAATGGCGACACTAAATATGCGGCACATAAAAGAAATGGTTGAAACAAAAATCAGTTTCACTAGACGGCGCCGAGGCAGTGACAGAGAGAGTGGGAGAGAAGTGTAAAGGACACAGGACATTGCCCACATTGCACACTGCCAGCGCGCCACTTAATGAGTTGAGCGTACAAAGGGGGCGTGGCACAGACTGTGTGCGAAGTATAAAAAAAATCACAGACTCAAATGCATTTTTATTTTACTTTTTTTTGTGTTTAACTTGATGTCTTCAGTGTGAACTGCTCAAAGCGTAATTGGCCAACTAAAGTAGTTGGTAAATTTACATAGCAGCCATTTGGCACAGTTGTGTTTAAGTGGCATAAATAGCAAGTGGCTAATCCGCATGTTAAGCTAGCAGCAGAACTAAAAGGAAATTTATATCAATTTAAATGTTAATTGCAAACGTGAATTACAGTTAAACCTCATGTTAAACTTGATTAGTGTAGAGAAATTTGAAGAGAAATTTAAAAATGGTTAATCCTCATGTCAAATTGGCTTGTAAATGAAGCAATGGAAAAGGGATACCAATTTGAATCAAATGAAAAGTGATTTAGTCTTGTTAAACTAGGCTCTATATAGGTGCCCATGTTAAATTCCTCATGTTAAATTCAGCTGATAAAGAAATATTTTTAATTATGAGAAACCTAAGCTCAGAAAAACATCGAAGTGATTAAAAATTGCAAAAGAGTTATAGCAACCGGTTAATCTCGAGTTAAACTGGCCTCTATATGCCAGGAACTTTGAAACGTTTAGTCCGAATTTATTAAAAGACCAACAAAACAAAATTGTAACAAGTTTAACTAGTTTCCCCATCTACAACATTGTCTCTTGCTCTGCTTCCTCGGTGAGCAGCTCTACGTCGACGTCTTCCTCGTCCCCCTCCTCTACATCGACAACGTCGTCTTCCTCCTCATCGAACTCATAGTCGCCTAGCTCTTCGTCCTCTTCACTCTCATAATCTTCGTCCTCGTCGTCCTCGTCCACCAACTCTGTTATGCGTGCTTGGAACTCCTCGAAGCTATCCTCCAGCGATACAATGTAATCCTTGAACATCGTGGCGCTCAGCTCTTCGGTGCGGCTGTCCAAGAGCTGCAAATAGGGACACAGCGGATCCCTAATGTAGATGCGATGACGCTCACCAAGTTTGTTCAGTGTCTTATTCGAACGCTCCTGACTATTGATGACGGCGAGGTGTAGCAGAAAGAACATCAGATCCACAGCGTCCGGCATGAGCTCGTTGAGTCGCTCGCCAAAATTGAGCAGCACCAGCGAGGGCATCAGCTCGAAGCGCACCGTCTTAAGGACACGGCGCATGTGCACCTTGCGCTCCGCATAATCGGTGAGGACCCACATCAGGGCCGCATAGAATACCTCCACCTCGGTGTGAACGCCCAGCAGATCGGAGCTAAGCAGATTACACAGCAAATTCACCTCCAGCTCGCGATACTCCTCCGACGAGACGAGCACTAGAAACGACTTGCCAAAACGATCGATCATCAGATCGGCCACATTCATGATGCCCTTGGTGCAGGCCTCGATATAGCAGTTCAAGGCATCCACATTCGAGAAGTAACGCACATCATTCAGCGCCCCGAAGACGCTCTGCAGCAGCTTCGGGGCACACAGATATTCGGCAGCCAACAGCAGATCCATCAGCTTGCCACGCTGACAGTTGCTATCCGAGCTGATCATCCAGTTGTAGGCAATGTCAAAGGACTCAGCGGTGATCTTATCCTCGGGCAGGCTCACACTACTCCCCGGCTGCAGCGTGTCCGCGAATAGTTCGCAGAATGTGCGCAGCACGCAGCTGTGGCACTCGAAGCTCTGCTGGCCAATCGTGATCTTGACATCCTTCTCCAGATTGCTGATCAGCAAATTCTCGATTGCCTCCTGCCAGGGCGTCTTCTTTGGCAGCACCGGCAGCAACTGATTCGAATTGATCTTCTTCAAATTCTTTGCATTTTCCACTTGTATCTCCTCCTCGGAGGGCACCTGATTTTTGGCATAGGACATGTCTGCAAAGGAAAAGTACAATATATATACATATATATTCCGATCAATTTCAAAGTAGTTTCATAACAAACTCACCTCTATGGAATTAAATTAGAATGTTTCCAATGAATGGCACTCGATAAAATTTATTAAAAATTTCCCTTTCGATTTTTCGCACTTCAGCGTTTTTGTCAAAATTTTAAAAATTTGCAATGCGCACAGTTCGAGCTCAGTCACTCAACTAAAACAATTTTGTATAGATTCGAGACATATTTTAGAAATTGGATAGCGAAAGCGTCGCCTTCTATGTTTACGGTGGGGTCTTAAAACATAATTTGAAGTAGGAAAAACATGTCTGAAGAAGAGAATTTCTGAGTAAGTTTCTAGAGAATTGGAGACATTTTTGAGCAAGTTTGTAGAGTATTAAAGACATTTCTGTGGAAGTTTGTAGAGTATTAAAGACATTTTTGTGGAAGTTTGTAGAGTATTGAAAACATTTTTAAGAAAAGTTGTAAAATATTGGAGAAATATTTCGAAAAGTCTTAATAATATTGGAGACATTTCTGTGGAAGTTTGTAGTATATTGGAGACATTTCTGAAAAAGTTTGTGGAGTATTTAAGACATTACTGAAAAAGTTTGTAAAATATTGGAGAGATTTCTGAAAAAGTCATAAGAATATTGTAGACATTTCTGAAAAAGTTTTTAGAATCTTGGAGACATTTCTGAGAGCTTGTAAAATATTGCAGAAAATTCTGAGAAAGTTTTTAGAACCTTAGAGTAATTTCTAAGAGAATTGAAGAATATGGGAGACTATATTGGAGAATATTTCTGAGTAACTTTTTAAAATATTGGAGACTTTTCTAAGAAAGTTTTTAGAAGCTTGAAGACATTTCTAAGAGAATTTAAGAATATTTGAGACTATATTGGAGAATATTTCTGAGTAACTTTTTAAAATATTGGAGACTTTTCTAAGAGTTAATTTTTAAAATATTTAAGAATTTACTGATAAAATTTTTAGAATATTGGAGAGATGTTTGGGAAATTTCGTAAAATATTGGAGATATTTCTGAATAAATTTGAAGAATATTGGAGAAATTTCAGAGAAACTTTATTCAACTAAATCGAAGACATTTTTGAGCTTGTAGAATGTAATAAATTGTTGCCATGACAAATACTTTTATTTAATTTTGGAATGTCAATTTAATATATCACAATGTCTCTTACAATCGATTAATCGATAACACGTTTTTTTTACATAAATAGCTTGCCATATTTACAGAGTCTATATAGTCTACATGCCATATTTACAGAGTCTATACAGGCTGTTTATTATTTCAAACTAAATTTTCAATGCTTTGGCTTCAGTTGCAATTTAATTTCAATGAAAGCATTATGTGGCTACAGAAGGCTTTTATCGGCCGGGGTATGCCAGCTGCAGTAGTGCAACAGACCCCAGTGAGTTTCTTGCTTTTTGCAGCATTGCATTGCCAGTCAGCACGCGCAGCTTAGCTGTCAGTGAAGCCTTTGGGGATGCCGAACAAAGCGTAATCGTAAAATCAAATGCTCAACAGAGAGCGAAACAAAAGGCGAAGAGAAAGAGAGAGAGAGGGGAGGGGGGAGGGAGAGGGAGAGCGAGTAATGTTTGGTAATAACATGAAAGTGATAATCACACAGGGTATACCAAAGGCATGTGCACTGCCAGGGTCTATACCTACAGGGTATCTGCACTTAAAGACAACTTGCACAGCATTGAAACTTAGATAATTTGACCGTCTTAGTTAAGCATGTGCTTTTATCTACTTATTCGGCATTGCGCAGAGAAAACTTTAGTCATTTGATCTCATTTATTTGCGTTTAGCAGCCACCCGCACGGTCGCTAATGACGTCAACGTTTAGCGCAGAGCCTGGCCCAAATCAATAGGCCGAAACAAAAGTAAAACTTATGTGGCTAGAAAATGTTTTGGCACAAGTTGCAAATTAAATTTACATTTCATGCACGTAGCCGTGAGCCGAGGCTCTCATCCTTAATTGTGGCAGCGACGAGCTGGCACAAAGGCTGCTGCAGTCCGCCTGGCGAGCTGCCAACTTGAGCCAATTATGTGGCATGTGCAGGGAGGCAGCGGAGCTGCAAAAGCGAAATCAATACGCGCAACATTAACTCGAACGCCAAAGACACGCCATGGACTCATTAGCTTGTGGCACACACACACGCACACTAACTGCCCTTGAAGATGGGCCAACGAGCTGTCAAACTGTGTTTGCCTCTGTGTGTGCTTGCGATTACGATGCTGTTTGCCATCATTGTAGCCAAGTTTGTCATAAAGGACGCCATTTGACAGCATTAATACCCCGAGCAGACAAAATAGATCGACTATGAAATTGAGTTGAGATATTGTCTATAACTCATATATATATATATATATATATATATATATATATATATATATATATATAAATATCTTGATTATGTCACAGCTGCTTTCTATATGTTAAAGAGACTGAAGAAACCCCAAGCTTCACTTTGCTTGCTTAAGAAGTGGATGCTGTGCATGAAAGGTTCCATGAGTACGAGCTGCTAGGGCGGGAATTCGAAAGATTAAAAGTCTTTTACATATGAAGTGTAGAGTAAGTTATATATGATATTCCACTGTATGTTAGATAGTGTGTATAAAGCAGCAGAAATGGTTTCATGATCAAATAAACTCGAACTCGTTGATTCGTGATGTCCAAGCGCAGCAGAGCTTACTTAAGACAGGCAGCAGTCAGTACTAAAAGTCTTATAAATATGAAGGTATAAGTAGATTTTATAAGACAAATTGTTTCCATAGATGTTAATATATTTAGCAGAAAGCAATTTACCTTGGTTCTTGGCTGACTGCAGATCGATCAAAAAATAAATTGAAAACATAATCTAGAAAGAGTTAAATTAAAGCTTTAAGAATATGAATCTATGCAGAGTTTATAGATAAGATCATCATTTACAGCTGATTTTACCAATAAATATATATTATTAATATAATATAAAATTATAATATAATGATATAATGATATAATAATATAATAATATAATAATATAATAATATAATAATATAATAATATAATAATATAATAATATAATAATATAATATAATATTGTATCAATTTTTATACATAACTATAGATGTTCTAGAGAAAGAAAAATTCTGCTAAACTTTTAAAAATTTTAAATATTTCTCTTACTTTTCTCTCTCTTTGGTTAACAATTTGAAGCATTTCTTAGAGCCTAGAAATGTTTCAATCAGTTAACCAAAGAGAGCGAGAAAAGTAAGAGAAATATTTAAAATTTTTAAAAGTTTAGCAGAATTTTTCTTTTTATGTTCTATAGTTATATATAAAAATTGATATAATATTATTAAAATTGTATGCTATATATGTAAATATATATGTATATACTTAAGCAATATATTATAGCATATATAATGGTTCAATCGCTTATCAACACTCTCTGGTTATAGACTTCTCTAGCAGTAACTGATGGAGTTTATTTCATGCTTTCCAAGCAGAGCTTAAGAGACGAAACAAAATCTGAAAGTCTAGTATATAGACCATAGACTATATAGACCATAGACAATATAGACCATAGACTATATAGACCATAGACTATATAGACCATAGACTATATAGACCATAGACTATAAAGACCATAGACTATATAAGACATATGCTATACTAAACCGATTTGACAGGCAATTAAAGGCGATAGCTTTTCGCATTTCCCATTCAGACAAGTCTTAATTTGCCTGCCACTCTGAACTGGCCAATAATAGCAAATACTTGTGGCTATGATGCTTTAGATGGCTGCTTAAGATGCTTCAAATACTTCAAAAACAAACTAGAAGCACGAGTGGGTCTTGCGGCCTTAAAGCTATAAACCAAATGCAGCAATGGAAAAATTAAACAAATTCTTAAGATATCTAATATATATATAACAAATATATAAATATACATGTGTGTGTATGTATGTACATGCATACATGTTCATCTACATATGTGCGTGCTTTGGCATTCGGATTAGGCGCTGCCACGCCCTCTCGAGTGGCAATTCATGTTCGGCCTTTATGCGCTGGCTCTTGGCTCTTGGCTTATGGCCATTGTTGTTGTTGTAGAATTAACATAAAAATGCGCAGCACATGACAGGCGCAGATAATCTTTATTTACACACACACCCTCACACACACGGACACACACACACAAGAAGTCCTTGAGAACGTCTTGCTTTAAGCAAATTTGAAAAACTCAATCAGAAATTGCTTTACGTTTTATGCAAATGACAATATCTACAATATATATTTGTGCTGCGCTTCTTTATTTATTTATTTTGTCCTACTTACCTGCTGACCACGCCCACGCCCACTCGGCAACATCAGCTGCATGCACTGCACATAATTGCATTCAAAGCCACAGTCAGAGCCAGAGCCTCGCCCCCGCTCCCTTTGAGCTGCTCAACTCAAGTTGAGGTCGTTTGCTGTGCATGTGGCCGACATTGTTGACCAGGCCAAGCCAAGCCAAGCCACGTCACCCTCACCTCCCTCTCTCGGCGCCTCTCTTGGCTTATTGAGTGCCGCAGCAAATGACAATAAAAGCGGTTACTTATACGCCATGTTGTACGCTTGTTGCCCTCCGCCCCTGCTGCCATATTATTGACAGCTTTGTTGCCTCGCATTTATTTAACAATTTTCCATAATTAAGTGCATTCAGCTGCCTTCGTTTTTAATGGAAATACATACACACTTATATAGAGAGGACGTGCGCAATGTCGGCGCCCTTCGTTAGTTTAATAAAGCACAGATTAAACGAGCGAAGTCTTTGACTGCCCAATTATGAAGTTTCAACTATCCTTTATAATGGCGCTGAATGGCAGAGTGATTGAAAAGAGGGCGTAATTAAAGGTAGAAAAAAAAAATATATATGTATATGCTGTGCTTAAAGAGAAACTATTTGCTGATTGCTATTGAGACATTATTTATGCAGTTTAACTACTCGTTCTTAAAATGGAAGAGAGTATATTGGTTTCAATTTAGTGTTGGCTGGTTGTTGATATTTGGAAGACATGGGTAAAGAGAGAAAGTGACAGAGAGAAAGCAGAAAGATAATGAGAGAAAGAGAAAGAGAGTGAAAGAGAGAGAATGAATGAAGAATAGACAGATGAATTGAAGGGTGGCAGAAAGGAATAAAGAGAGAAAGAAAAGATAAAGAAACTCAGACAGCACGAG